GAACTTACAGCGATCCTCCTGCCTCAGCCTCCCATGTGACGGGATTACAGGTGTGCGCCACCACGCCTGGCTACATCTTATTACTTTTATAAGCCAGTAGTAGGTTTCATTACTTTTGGAGAGGGCAGTACAGCTTCTTTCAAATGGGTCAGTCAGCCTGCATTACTTCCGGAAGTTTCAGCAGGTGGCGCTCTTTCCACCATAAATGAGCAGTGCATTTATGGTTGATTATGTGATCTTAAAGATAACCTGTTCGGTGAATGAATCTTAGTAGACTCGCTTTACACAGACACTTCAACCTACTCATCGCCTTTTAGAACTTGCTTGTTTTGTTTAATCTCCTAGAGATGATCCTCTTTTATAGTAAACATGTCTTTCTGCAATCTATGTGTCTCTTACCATCTCTGCATCTTTTTTTACAGCAGGAAGCATAAGGAATCAGTGTCATGGGAGAGACAGGAGAAAACAGAAAAAAAGCGTTACAGGGGCTCAGTAGGCACAAAAGACCAAGAGGTAGAACTTAGTCGGTACTAAATAGCAAAACGCTGTTGGGGAACAGCCTGTCTCCTACGTCCATCCCGCACTAACAGCAGTAAAGGACATTTTCACTAACTTTTGAATAGAGAACATGTCCGTAGAGTACAAAACCGGAAGGCATTGAGTGAAGAATAATGCTTTTCTAGTTCCCCTCCCCGAAAGCAACTGTTACTAATGTGTGCTTCTTTTTTTTTTGGTTTTTCTCCAGTACCGGGAACCGAACTCACGACCTTGCGCTTGCCAGGCAGGTGCTTTGCCGCTGAGCTAAATCCCCAGCCCCTAATGTGTGCTTCTTGACATCATGTGTGAACATACTAACATTGAAGTGCAGTGTATGTATTTTTAATATATAGAGGTGTATACACACAGCATAGAACATTTTAAGTTGTCTTCTGTGAGCATTGGACCATTTTGTAACTTCATCAGAAATCCAGCCTCCCAGGGTGTGTTGTCGAACTTTGGGCTTTGCCAGGCTGATAGATGAAAAACGTGACCGGAGTGTAGCGTGAGGAGTGTGTGTCTTCCTGTGTAGAAGAGCCATTTTTATTTCTTCTCTGCGAATGTTACTTTTATTATGTCTTTTGTGTGTTTCCTAATTGGATACATGATCTTTTTAATCTCCATTTCTAGGGGTTCTTTATATATTAGGGAGAATGGTCCTTTTTAATACGATGTGCAGCTCCCTTTTCTGAGTTTCTTAAGGTGTTTTTTGACTTTGCTTATAGCATTCTTTACTTCTGTGGGACATTGTGTTTAAACAAATGAAGACCAGCTGACTGACTCGAATCCCTACCCTATTTTGTCTTTTTGTGCTTTTGCTTAGGAACCTGGCTGTTGTATTTGCCATGCACCTGGAGCATTGGTTTGGCAGCTGAGCCCGGGTGTTTTCCGGATTGGTACATGTTGTCCCTCTTTGGCGCTGGAGCTATTCTGATGCGTGGAGCAGGCTGTACTATTAATGATATGTGGGACCGTGACTACGATAAAAAGGTAGTTTCCTCCTGCAAGGGAGCAGAGGGGCAGCTCTCATTTCTTGGAATGCCATGGTTGCATCGCTTTTGAATGCCACATAGGCAGCTCGATCACTCGGTGATCTCACTGGCCTCCAGCGCGAGGAGCGTGGCCATCAGCGACAGCAGGGCTACAGCTGGAGTTCACGTTTCTTGCAGCACACAGTCCTCAGGGCAAGGTGTGTATTTTTAGTGACTCAAGAGTAAAGGAGTTAAAGGCTAGAAATGGATGTGAGAAATCCATCCTGAACCTTTTGTTATCCGAGAGCTTGGTCATCACTCCTTTTGAGGTGTACTGCAGGACCCTATCTTCTTTTTTGTTTTGGTGGTTGGTGCTGGGAATGGAACATACTACTGTGCTAAGTGACTGCGCTACTACGGAACCGTCTCCCTAAATCAGATCTTTTTTTTTTTTGGTTTTTCTCCGGTACCGGGAACCGAACTCACGACCTTGCACTTGCCAGGCAGGTGCTTTTGCCGCTGAGCTAAATCCCCAGCCCCAATCAGATCTTGATTTAACTGCACCTAGGCGGTGCTGTTGGCATTACTTGTGCAGGAGCCCCCCTCCTCAGTGCTTTTCAGGGTTTCAGTTACTCACTGAAGCCATAGTCTAAAAACATTAAAAAAAGATTTTCAGAAATAATCTGTAAGCTTTAAACTGTGCACCATTCTGAGTAGCGTCATGACAGCTCTTCCTCTTACTAAACTATAATTGTTCTGTTTTATTTTTAATTACTATGGTTAATTGTTTTGTTTTTTTTTTTTTTTGGTTTTTCTCCGGTACCAGGAACTGAACTCACGACCTTGTGCTTGCCAGGCAGGCGCTTTTGCCGCTGAGCTAAATCCCCAGCCCCTATGGTTAATTGTTTACTGTACCTAAAATATAAATGTAAATTCCCAGTGGTAGGCATTTACAGGAAAAAGCAAAGTACAGTCAGAGTTCGGTACTGTGCAATTTCCGGCGTCTGCTGGAGGTCTTAGACTATGTCCCTCATGGATAAGCAGTAACCGTAATAGTTCCTTGAAGAAATACAGCTTCATAGAAATACAACTTTCTACTTTTCTTTGTAAAGAGATTTTACAAGCTTGTTTAGAACAATCCTGTAAATACAGAAATGAAAAGGTAGGAAGTACACATCCTCGTTTCCTCCCTAGTCCTCAGAGAAAACTTCGGTTAAGTTTGTCCCACTATATTCCTCTGGGTTATTTTATGGGCGTATTCTAATGCATGTGTGTAATTATTTCTTTGTTATTAATAGACCTTAATTTTCTCAACAGAAGAGGCCATCTTGTTTGCTTTCTTTCTAGCAGGTGTGCTCTAAGTTCAGGATCATTAAACACTTGTGTAAATAATTTGAAGCGAAAAGAAACCCATAGTGAATTATATAAAGTAATTTTTATAAACTTTCATATAATCCAAGTGTTCTTTAAGGGAAACACTCTCAGAAGAGCTTTTAGCTTAAAGCACAGTGTCACAGTCATGCTTTTTTTTTTGAGACAGAGTCTTGCTATGTAGTCCAGGCTGCCCTTAAGCTCAAGGTGAGCCTCCTGCCTCAGCCTCCTGAGTGCTTGGATTGCAGGCATGTGCCACCATACCCAGCATTCATATCACTTTTAATTAAGAGAAATTTATTGAGTAGGTGCTGTGTATGGGACTGGTGACAAGGTCTCGGCTTGTATGAAGGAAAACATTCCTGACCGCGGGGTGTGTGGTAATGATAACACAGTGTGGGTTCCATGAGAATGCTGCCCACCTCTCAGCTGCGTGGAGGCCCAGAGAGAACCTGCCAGGAGTAGGAGGCAGGGGTTTAGCTTTGAACTCTGTCAGAATAAGAAGGCACAGAAGGAGGGGGCTGGAGGAGCAGCGGGTGTATTGGTATACAATAAGGGAAGACGGTGAGGCAGTCACCGCGTTTGACACCTGCCAGGGCAGGATGTGGAGGAGGGTAGGAGCTGCGTGGCAGAGCGTCTCCACACAAGCTGATGTGGTGGTGCCTGATTGCCCGGCAGATGCGCCCTTCCTGATTCGGAGGCTCACACTTCGGCTTCGCATTGTGTGCGCTGTGTGCGTGAGGCTTCCTACGTGCAGCTCTTGAGAATAAGCACAACACGGTTAGGGCAGTTGATTCCTTCTTAAAAATAGGTGTTTGCTGGCTCAGGAGAAGGCTCACAGAAAGTGCAAAATTGTACTGTAAATTAGTTTAACTTATGCAGATGAGATCTGTTTAGATGATCAAACATTTGAGATTATTTGGAAAGCATTTTATTCTTATCCTACCTGCCAAAACCAATCTAAAACCTGTGACTGGTGAATAGGGAATTGGAAGGTGAAATGCAAAATTGTAATGTCTGTTTGTTAGTTTTTTTCTTTGTTTTGTTTTGTTTTTGCAGCTCTGCAGGTTGAACCCAGGACCTTTGCCCTGAACTACATCCCTAACTCTCTGCCCCTTTTTAATTTTTCAAGCGGGGGACTTGCTAGGTTGCCCAGACTGGGCGAGAACTGGCAGTCCTCCTGCCTCAGCCTCCCAGAGTGCTGGGATCACAGGGATATGTCTCCACTTGTGGCTTATACACAAATATCTGTAGTGGCTTTAGTTGTAATAAGCTGAAAGCAATCTGATGTCCTTCACTGGATACATAAACAGTATATGATAAATCCATGCCACCTGCCAGAGAGTTGCATCAAGGGGAAAAACAGTCGGCAAAGGTTAGCTGCCATGTACTTCTACTCACGCACACCCTGGAAATTAGAGTGGCGAGTCGATGAGTTGGCAGGAAGTGCGGAGGGGAAGAAGGCAAGGCGTGGCTGTCAAAAGGCAGCATTAGAGGCCCTTGTGGTAGTAGTATTGCAGTCTTGTTGACCGCCAGGGTGGGATCTTGGTTGTGAGGAGCTGGCGGTGTTCACCAGAGCTAGAATGCCTGTCTAGCACGCAGAGCCCTGGGTTCCATCCACAGCAACACCAAAGTAAATATCTTGGTCGTGAGGTCATACTATACTTTTATAAGATGTTACTTTTGGGAGGAAATGGATAAAGAAATTTCCATGTCTTAAAACTACAAAAGAGAAAGCTTTATTAAAAAAATATGTTCAAACCGACCAACTTTCCCCATTTTTTTACTTAACAAAGTATGAGCAGTTTAGTTGTCCCTAGGTAATATCTTTTCCTGTAGGTAAAAGGAAGCTGATATCTCTCTCATGCCTTTTTTTTGGATAGAAGCATGAACCCAGATGGTATATTGGTATACAATAAGGCATTAAGTGAAAGTATTATAGCTGTTGAGGTGGCATTTTAAAATAGTTTGTGTACCTCTTTAAAAGGATGGGTTAAAAAGCTTGACCTAGGGGCTGGGGATTTAGCTCAGCGGCAAAGCGCCTGCCTGGCAAGCGCAAGGTTGTGAGTTCGGTTCCCGGTACCGGAGGGGGGAAAAAAAAAAAAAAAAGCTTGACCTAATTATAATTCTTCCCTCAGTTTCTTAAAAACAGTATATCATTAAGGACAGATTTATGGGTTTTGCTTAATGCATTCCAAGTTAAATAAAAGGCTAATAAATTAAATGGTAAGTACATTGTTATAAGGGTATATAGATTATGTTTGTTGATATCACGTGTAATTTACCAGCAGCACAGTTGTGTGATAAAAATTAGGTTAAGAACATTGAAATATTAAGCTTAATATATAGATATTAATGATTGATTTTTGTAAGCTACAAGTGTTCTGGTTTCATAAACTAGGTTTTAATAATCATGTTACATCATCTTTATTCTTGATGGAGTTTATTTGCAGCTTTCAAACTTAGTAGGAAATTCTGTCCTGAAGGAGGGCGACCCGCCTGGTTAGTAGGACTGGACCGACCGTGGGAACCCTCAGCCTCTGTGACCTCGGAAAGTGACTGAGCCTGCCTCTGGGTTTCACCCACATTAGAAATGGCAGGAACTTGTGGACGATACCATTGTAGCTCTTAGAATATGGCACGCCACAGAGCGCTCAGATACTTACTGGAGTTACAGTAATATTCTGAAACATTAAAAATACTATTTCCAGTTTAAAGCCTTAGGAAGCACATCGGAGTAAAGATCCACTTCTGGTTCTCTAACCACTAGACCCAGTTTTTGGCAAGCTACTGTATTGCATAGTGAAGCATGATACAAATCCTGTCAGCAGCCTTTTTCTGTAGCAGAACAGTTAGTAAATATCGTAGGTTTTGTGGGCAAATCATCAAGTTAATTAATTTCTTGTGAGGGTCTGAAAGCAGCCATTGACAGTGTGTTAAAAAATGGCTGAGTGTGTTTCTCAATAAAACTGTATTTATAGACATTGAAAT